ACAGACGCGGCCATTGGCTCACGAGCGACCGTGACGTCACCGGCTGAAGTAGTGCAGGCTTGGTCCACGTGACCACGTCCCGAAGCGAGGCACGAGCATAAAAAAAAAAAAGTCAATTACGCCAGGGTGGCGGGGGCAGGATTACCATGGGAGACGCTGCCCCATCCAGCCGGCCTGGAAAGGGAATTCTTTCGCGCTTCTCCTTCCTTCCTTCCTTGGGAACAACGCCTCTGAAGACGCTGGGCTTCACTTCCGAGTAAACATGCATTAGAGGTGCACCTGCTGCAGAGAGCGGAGGAGTATCAAGGGACTTTCTTTCCTCAACCTTTGCCTCTCGTGGGTGGGGACTCACAGACGCGGCTACCTCCGCCTGCTCCTTTCAGAAGGAAAAAGGACATGCAAGCTATTGGACTCTCCTCCGGAGAGTGAGACTCGTATAACGGTCTCTCCTCAATTTTATTTCCTCAAAAAAAAAAAAAACAAACAGCTGTGGAGTATGGTAGGCAGAAGCTGAGTTTTGCACAACATGCTTTCCCATAGTGAACAGAACCAAGGTTTATTTAGTTAACCTAATTTTCTGGGTTCGTTAGGCAAAAATGGTTGGTAAGTTACAGTTGAACACTGTAGATTGTTCAAACACAGGTAGTGACTGGCTCAAATAACACCCAATGGTGTGGCTGAATGGGGACTTAGACCTGTGTTTCCTCAGTCCTTTGAAGAGGTCAGTGCATAAAAGGGAATCAATATCTCTCCTCTATATGTTTGCAATTATTCTAGTCCTTGTTCTACTCCAATCAATTCCACAACTTTGGGAGAATACAAGAAGAGATAGATGATAATTGGCTTTACAAATACCTCCTTTCCACACTCCTCCCTCCATCCCTTTTGAACTTCAGCTTGTATAAGTCTATTAAAAAAACAACAACAACTGCATGGCCATTGCCTTTGGGAGAATTCTGTCATCCCCATCCCATGTCCAAACTATCAAGAGGATTAAACATTCTTTAGAACTAGTTGCATAAGCACTAAGAAACACAAGAGACTTAATGGATCTGACCCGAGGGCCTATTCTGCTAACAGCCAATTTTTGTGAGCTGTTGGGAGCTAACAGACTAAACTCAGTGGGATCCTACTTCTGCATAAGCAGCCTTCTCCAACTCAGCACTTTCAGGTGTGCTGGATGACAACTACCCAATCAATACTGTTGGACATTATAGAAGTTGAAATCTAACACAGTACTGTAACGCCTAAAAAGTTTAGCCTTGCCTTATAAAAACTACATGTCAGATTTGATGATACTGTTTGCTATTTTCTGCATCTTTCCCAGTTATGTCTTGACCATTTACTGAACTGCATTGATATTAATTCCTTCCCTTTCAAAGTTTGTGCTACTTTGGAAATAATTTAAATGGACTGCATTTGTTAGCTTTTTTTTTTTTAAGAAAAATACTATCTCATTATAGGATACAAATGGGATGGTGTTAAAACACTATCTATGAATCAATACCCTCCATGAATCAACAGACCTTTGCATTCCTAACACACCGAGATAAGGCTGCAACTGAAAACACTTGAAAAGCTTTCTCTTCCCTATAGCAACAACTACCTCTCACATTCACACTTTTGTGACTTCACTCTCCTTTTCTTGGTTATTTGAAGTGTATTTCTCTAATATAGAGAAAAAAAATATCAACTTGGTTTTAAAAGTAACAAATACAGGTTCAGTTATTCTGCAACAAGATTACATTTTTTTCCAACTCCAAATTTATTATAAAAGACTGCTGAGGCATGTTTGTATTATATTTGTAGCAACATACTTGTAAAGATCTGTAACCCTTAAACATATTTTTATTTACTTATTTCGCACATTTATATAACTGCCCATCTCACAAACACGTGACTCATGGACTTATTTATGCATAGATTGTTTATCTGCTATTCCTAAAAGGTTGGGATCATTATTTTTCACACTGAATGAGTAAAAATATCTCAAACTCTTATCACAGTACCTGGACATGTGTAATTAAAACATAAGAGCACCTAAATTCATATCAGATCACTTTAGATAATTTGATCTTAACAGTCTTGAAAACATAAAGTTGCAAAATTCAGTGCTTAAATTATCTTGATTTTGATCCTTTCACACATATATTAAGATTTTGGTTGTTTACTGCTTTAAGCCTTAGCAACCCATGATCCTCTAATGTAAGTGAACAAAAGGCTATTCTCAGAAGCACAGTATAACTGGTAAACTATAGTCTGGCAACATCTGGATTAACTGAACCCAGATGAATGCAGCACTATATAGGCATCCAGAGGAGGAGTAACCAAATATGCCCCTTACATACTTGCATGCAATATCACAAGAGAAGTACAAAAGTGTGGAACATGCATAGGTAGTCAGTTAATAAAAGAGAAAAAGTGACACTATGCTGTTTTGATGTAAAGCTTGTCTAAGCACATGATTTCTTATTGTAAGTTTGTCTTGATTAAGAATCAGATTTCATAAGAATCTACCTTCTCCCACCTGCTACTATTAAATCTGTCTGCAGTCTTAAGGAATGATTCCTGCATCTCGTTAAGCGACAACATGGATTGACTCAGACAATGTTGTTGTCTGAATCAATCCATGTACACCCACACAACTACTTGTTTGACTTATATGCTGCCTTTCAATCAGGAACTCAAGGGAACATATACATACTGGTTTGTTCAACAATTCATGGGCCAACATCACCCAAAATTGTTGTGCCGTGCTATGCATATTCAATTTGGATTTGTTCCTGAATAAGCAGGCATATGACATAGATGGAATTTCCCTAGAATGTCCAGGGTATAGTATCAAACCTTTTCTGCATGAAACTTGGATTTTGCATTTTCCATCTGAAATCACACACAATTCCTTTAGCCCAACTGAAAAATTACTCACCTGAATACCATTATATAAGAAGCCCTATTTTTAATTACGGTTTAAAGAACATAGTTGCAATATACATATAAAACATTTCTTAATAAAAAACCAGAATCAGTATCGACCCACATGCAAGTTCAAAAAAGAGATCCCTGCCTTCCAATTAAAGGAAAGCAGTGAAAGTCCAGGGACAGAAGGAAAAAGCACTCCTCTCCCCTGCTCCCCAAAAGCTTGCACAGAGCCATTCCATTCCTTTTGTCAGAGCAAAAAGATGATTCCTTACACCAGTGTTGTCCAAACTTGGCCACTTTAAGATGAGTGGACTTCAACTCCCAGAATTCCCCAGCCAGCCAAAGTGGCCAAGTTTGGACAACACTGCCTTACACCGTATTTTCAGGCCTTAAATCCTACCGTCCAACCCGCAACCGACCCCCTTTCCCCACTCCAGCTTCATTTTACACCTGAGTCAACGGGCTTAGACCTCCTGTGCTCATCTGGGCCACCTCCACGCCCGGGCCCCACACCAACCACCCCGGGCAGCAGCAGATGCTTCTTAATCTTGGGAGCCATTTCTATGGGACTGCAGCAGGAGGCCTGCTTCCACCCAAGCTCTTTCTGCAAGACCCGGAGAAATCTCTCCCACCCAGGCCGGCCGGCCTACAGCTTCAGCAGGAGTTTTCCATATCGCCCCCTTTAACCCAGGCCGGCTGCGCGAACCAGGCGAAGCCTCCCACCTTTCTCTCCAGCATCATAGCCCGGCCAGACCGCTTAGGTGCCCGCACGTTTCCCCTCTGACGCCCCACGCGAGGGCCCAAACCTGTCTCAATTCTGCCTACCCTCCAGCAAATAAATGGATGGCGGTATCTTTCCAGCTCATTCTTTCTCATTCTTCTCCCCAGCGGTCGGGAGGACGGGAGATGGTGTCGGGCACTTCCTTCCTCTGTGATTGCTTAATGGTGCAATAGCGGCGGGCGAGTCCCTGTGAGCGCCATCTATTGGGCAAGGAACTAATTGTCACTGAGGAGAGCGGCAGAGGCCGGTTCGGGGAGGGGAAGGGCCCGCTCGCGTTGAGTGGGATTAAGCTTTACGCGGAGTGGCAGAGGCTTCAAAGGAGGAGCTTGCTGCAGTTGGTCTCAGCAAAAGCTAAATATTTTGTTTCATTTGTTTTTATTTATTTAAATTTATTGGCCGCCCAATTCCAGTCGACTACTAAATACAGCTGAACCTGGTTATTCTTCGGATGGGCGATCATGGGGAACTTCAGAACTACCACCAGGGAAGAAAACCCTGAAAGACGGCAGTGGCAAAGCACATCTCTGCGGTTACCAACATAAGTCGATGTGCCCAGGCGGTCACCAGAAGCGGAGACCGACTTCTCGGATGCTTTACTTAAGAAGGGGCTGCTACGCACTGCTGCTCTGTTTGCATGCTTTATCACAGTGTTGTCCAAACTTGGCCACTTTAAGATGAGGGGACTTCAACTCCCCTCATCTTAAAGTGGCCAAGTTTGGACAACACTGCTTTATCAGGACGTTTCTGCTACCGACCTTGAGCAGCGGTGCAACTCTCTTCCAGCTGGGTGGCCTCCAAGTGCCCGGATTGCCATTTGTGGATTGTTGCCTAACACCAGTTATGGGAGACGTAGTAATGGATGATCTACCATTGTGCG